GGCGGGTTTGCGTGGCCTCACAAACTTCGATGTTTCGCGATTTGTTCCGCGCAAATTAACAGCCGTTTTCGCGCTTCCACAAGCTCGCGGAAGGCATGCTGCGCCGAGTGTGAAGTAAGCGAGAACAAGTCCTAAACACGAAACGAATGTCAATTTATCGTCGGTGGGGTAGCATAAGCGCGTGCACTAGACAAAGACTATCGAATACAGTCGGTGGCTAACGATGTTGGTAAATGGTCTGGTCACTCCATTCTGGCGATGCCAACGACAGTACCAGCGATCGAAAACAGGGTAGATGGCCGACCGGTCTTCCAAAGATTGGAGACAGTGTGAAGACACGGGCCTCGTCTGGCGATGCGGGGTGCTCAGAGTAGCGGGGGGGAAAAAGAACGGAGGGGTGCGGAAAAAAAAAGCTGTCGGGGCAAGGAGGAAGGAAACAGCTTTCCTTCCTCCATGGGTCGGGGAGAGCGGCAACTAGAGGATCGCGGAGATATGGTCGGCGTTTAACAATAAGAATGTATGGGCATCTCGCTGATGCCCGATCGGTGGTCGAAATCTGTTTCCCGGGAAGTCTGCAGACCGCCGACTCCGTTCGTTGTAACCGATCAGCTGCGCTCGGAGACGTTCGTTGTAAGTGTGATTTTGTGCCATTGAACTAATGTATATTTTCACGGTCAGGCGGATATTCTTCGTTTTAAGCAAAAGTTCGTTTTAAGTGGGGACGTTATTTGTGGGCTCGACTGTACTCTGTCATCTTCATGAAAAAAAATATATATTTGCATACTTCGCACTCCCAGACCTGGCAGAGCCAGCTCGTCGGTGCCCACACGCGGAGATGGTAGACCTTTGGATTCCTTGGACGGGTGCGCCGGACGAGCGCAGTCAAACAAAGTCACTTCTTCCGAATACTTCCCCTGAACTAGGGTCCCTAGAATATTGTGCACAAACATCTAAACCTGTTGATGGGTTGCCGGAACTGCTCGAGCCTTTGTCCCCTTCTATCTCTCCATCTCTATTACCGTGTGAATGCACGCTCGCATCATGGCACGGACAACTTTCGGCACCGGAGGTGTGCGAGGGCCTGTTGGGCTTGTCGCGCCAACGGTTTCCCTCGTTCTGTGTCCGCGCTGCAATGCATGCTTGGTTAATTTCGGCAGTTTAAGTTTTGCCATTCGTCCTTTGCATTTTTACTGTTCTGTTGCGATCGGCTACAGTAATAATATATAAGGCGGAATTCAAGCTTGCTGAAGTTTGTGAAGTTACGTTACCGTGTTGTGAATGTGCGGGACCTCGTCAAGTTTCGAAACGTACTAACAAATTGAGTGCTGATGCGTAACGGATTGAGATTTTTGTGTATTTGTGTTTTTTTCTTGAGCGCATTATCTTTCATGAGCATTTTGATTATTTCTTTGTAAATTTTATTTCTTTTTTGCTTTAATAATGGCTGTTTGAATGTTCCTTTTCTCTTTTGTATACTCCTTCTTTATGTGATGCCCCAACAGGGGCCTTTAAGGGTAAATAAATGATGATGATGATGATGATCATAATGATGAAGAAAACTGGAATCGTGTCACCACCAAGCACTTCAGCGTGAAGCTAGTTTTCTGACGCTGGAGATTTAACTTCACGCCGATAGTCACACGCGCAATTGGTCCAAAAGAAGGAGTGTGTGGGCTTGCTGAAGCAAGTTTCCTGCTGTTGGAAGAACTTTTCAGTTATGTGTGAATGCTTAGGTCCTCCGGTATAGATGTGTCGTGGGACCTAGTTTCTTCTAGCATTGTCAAAAGAGCTTGAAGAAAATGAGGCACTCGAAAGAGCTCGATGGAACCGAGGACGATGCGCTCTGGAAGGGCGGTGGCAGCGGCCGCAACGATGATTCTCAATCTGACCTCTGGATCAGCGATTCCGACTGGACCGCGGATGACCGGGTCCGACTGGTCAAAATATGTACTAGTGCTATTAAATTAACAAGTACACTTCATCTGTGCTACAATTTATTTTATTTTCTTCAATTTATATACTTGGCACATTAGAACTATTGCACATTATTTACAGCATTTCGTATGCGTTGGCGAAATCCCTGCATAATTTGCACACCCCTTTCTCTGAGCCCCAGAATCGTGAAAAAAAGTGCGTAAATTATGCGAGTAAATACAGTATGCACAAAAATATAAAAAGATGTAAGTAAAAAAATGTGGGTGCAAAGGTTATGCAAAAGGAATACTGTGATAAGAGTACATAGAACAGTTTTTTTTTTTATTTGTAAAACACTGGCATAAAGAAATACAAGTTCATCCTGGCAATGAAAACATGCAGTAAAAGCCACTATGAATAGTAACAATGCTATTAAGGTAACATTCTTATAGAATTAAACAGGAAAAAAAAAGCGCTACAGGAACACAGTACATGCTATCACTAAAACTGGCTACTGGCTCAAGAAATCAGCTTCAAGTGTTTCTTTAAATGTAGGAAGAGAAGACAATGTTTTAATGGGGGGAGGGAGCGAATTCCACATTTCTATAGCACAGAATTTTTCAGCTGCAAGAAGTTACTTTTTGAGCAATACAAGTGGTGTTATTATTCTTCAAGGAATGCAATGAAACAAAGTCGTGGCATGAAGATATAAAAAATCCGGTAGTGCCACATTACCGGCTTTTTCATATCGTCCGGTGCTGTTGACATGCACTCAAAGCGCTTAAGTTTCCCTCCACCAATTTATTGTAAACTTCAAGGGGGACAAGCCGCCAGCAGATTGCTCCGGACGGTGCAATGCTAAACTTGGGTCGTCACACTGTCCACTTGGGGAAGGTTTGGTGCATGGGGGATTTTGTTGTCAATGATGGCATGGCTCGTTTACTACTACAATGTTAACGTTCGCTTTACTCTCTTGAGATGCCATCTCTTCCTAACCTCGAGAAGCACGGACTGCTGGGCGAGTTGGTAATTCGCCTTGACTGAGTTGCGCGAATAATTTTGAAGTACAAAAGGAAGACACCTGGACATAGCGCACTCGCCGTTTTTTTTTTCTTTCTTCTACTTTTATTTTTTCTTCATTCTTTCATTTTTCCCATCTTTTTACTTTTATCCCCCTTTTTCTTTTTTGTTCATCTTTATTTTTTTGTCCCCTTCCCTCCTGTCTCAACAAGCTTAAAAACACACGAAAAATGTGTAAATATTATTATGTCTTGAAAAAGACGGGGCTCCCGTTAAAACGTCAGCTAATTGAATAGTATGTGAAAGCGCATCTATTTTTGTGGGGTCTCGCTGTAGCGAGACCCCACAAAAATAGATGCGCTCTTGGAGTGAACGGACATAGTAGGCGCGGTCGGAACGAACCAAAACACATATTCAACTATTTTTAGAAGGACGATATCACCAGCCGAATTATTATAACATCAGTTGGGATCAAACACACGCTGAACAACCTTACACAATATTGTCATGGGGTCGTGATGTGGCCGAAGACAGGAGACTTTATGTTGGGATTCAACTGTTTATTTGGGCGAACCTGGGCCCGGTAAACAGAAAGTCTGATTATAGCAGCAGTCTTGCACAGATAGCAGTGAACGGAGCGTCGGCCAAGTTAGGCATGCTACGGACCGTCATAAATAAATTTTTGTGAAAAAAAAAAACAACTCTCGAACTCCAAGTTAGTGCAGATTGGTCGATGGTGGCTCTCTTTTTCTGGTGATTATAACCACTAAACATGATGAAATTGAATAAATGACTACAGAATGTCATAGTTCACTTTATGAAAATTATATGAACACTGAAAGTTGAAGTTCATGAAACATATACTTCAGAGGAATGTTTTTTTCTTACTCTTGACAAGCACGTCCTGTTTTGAAACAACACACTTTAGTCGACAAAAAATTGCCGAAAATCGCGGTTTTGCCACAGTAAAAAATTTTTTGCAGATTTGGAAAGAGCAATGCTTGAACTAACTATATGAGGAGTTATGTGTACGAGAGACCCCTCTAATGCATAGAAGACGGCAGTTTAAGGCTTGGATCACCAGTGATCGATTTGAATAGGTGTGGTAACGAAAGAGTTAACTTCATTGTGCAGAGGATCCTTTAGCTGATACACATTGTGCAGAGGATCCTTTAGCTGGATACACTACCATATTTGAAGATTGACCGACCGCTCAAGAATAAACATTGGGAGTATTTTTCTTCTATTGCTCTAAATGAATACAACCAAAAAACAAACTGCGCATGCATTTACGGCTTAATATCTGATTTTTTTTTTTACACAAAAGCAAGACTGATTATAGAATAATCATTTAATACATGCTAATGAACATGAGTACTGAAACACACACGTAACAACACATTCTTTCATTTTCTTTCTTTGAATGTAATATTGAATGCTTTGGAATTACACTTTGTGAATTTAATGCACCGTACATCACAATTTATATGTGAAGGTGATACACTCTAAACCTTGATGTAACGAACACATATAACAAAATACTATTGGCTATAATGAAGTAAATGAGGGATATTTTAGCACTATATACAGTGTTAGGATTATATATCTGTTATGACTTATAATTCAACTTCATTATAAAAAGGTTTGAGTGTATATACACATATCTACTGTTGGCTTATTTTGCATTGGGGGATGTAAATTGGGCTCAAATTGAAAGAAATTTGAGTTGTCTATTTTTAAAAAATTGGCATTGCTCCTTCAGGCTACCGGGCTGTGCCTGCTGTTTACAGAATGATTAAATACTTAATTACTTGTCAATTAACAGTAATCATTGAAACTCACACATAACACATTCCTTCAATTTATTTCATGGAATATAATATTCAGTGCCTTGGAATTATGTTATGGGAATTTTATGCATTTGTGCACCTTGCATCATAATTCACACCTGCAGGGGATGTGTTCATAAGTTGACAGTTCATATACGTTGCATTTATGTATTTTGCAATAGGGGAAGTGAATTTGGCTGAAATTTAAGAAATGTGTGTTGGTGTTTGAATTTTTAGGAGTGTTGTGCTGCTCCTTCAAGCTGCCCTGCCGTGCCTGCTGTTTGCCGACGCACCATCTGTGTTACGCCTTCGGGGTGGAACCAATGCAGAGATGGCACCCCAGATTGACTACACAATCTCGGTAACTTCTCTTTCCGTTTCATTCTGTGACATGCTAGCTCCAAGCAAACTCTAACTGATGTCGTTGCTCTAGGCTCTTTAGGGCATCACCTTCACTCTGAAGGTCACCTTCACCTTCACTCTGTCACCTTCACCTGAAGGTTACCATAGTTACTGCTGATGCTGCCATGGTTACGGCCATGTGTGGTGGCCGGCGGTGACAGGTTCGCCGTCGCGTGCATAAGTGGCGTCTCAAGCACATCCTGCAGTGTTTGCGCGAAGCCGTGGACAGCGTTGCAGCAAGTCTCGCGAATAATTCAAGTAACGGGAGGCACTACGTTAATTTCACCGAACACCCTGCTCGTGGCTAATAGCAGCAGCGCTAGCTTCAGTGTGTTTTTTTTTTTTTCCCACCAAATGGATTGGCAACACCACAGAACCGAGCCAACAGGGGGGGCTTCAACTCCCTCCCACGCCTTGTCCTGCGTGGCTTTCCTGTGTTTGGGGAAAAGGGAATCCTGGGGGTTGAGTCGACGCTGGGTGATTTGGACCTTCATGGCACCCCGGCAGAGGCAACACAACCCTTTGGCCCCAGCTTCATGTAGATTGCACCCCTGGGCTGACCCACCCAAAAGAAATCGGCAGTCGCCTTTTCCTATCTATCTCTCTCTCTACATCTTCGTCTTTATCTCTCACTTTTTATCTGTGCTGTCATATTCTCTTTTCCGTTTACTTCCAAATTTCTTGACGGGAAGGGTTAACTTTGGGTAGTTATATTCGGTTATAGCGGCGATGCGTGGCTGCCGTCTCCAAGTGTTTACTATTAAACCTCGTAGCGTCCCCTTGTTGGGCTCAATGGTGAGTGACCAATATCGCCGCCGAACTTTACACAATCTGTATGGCCAAATTCCCCCCCCCCCCCCCCCCCTCCCTGATCGCTGCCCGAAAAGGTGGCGCACTGAAGAACCGTTCCTTTTTTCAAAACCAAAGCAGTCTTTCCCCAAGTTTCATGTCGTGCATAGTCAGAAAGAAAACAAAGCAGTCCGAGCAATCTCACCTTTTCTTGTCTCAAAGACACTCACTGAAGTAGCTCGCCGCGGTGGTCTAGTGGCTAAGGTACTCGGCTGCTGACCCGCAGGTCGCAGGATCGAATCCCGGCTGCGACGGCTGCATTTCCGATGGAGGCGGAAATGTTATGCCCTTGTGCTCAGATTTGGGTGCACGTCAAAGAACTCCAGGTTGTCGAAATTTCTGGAGCTCTCCACTACGGCGTCTCTCATAATCATATGGTGGTTTCGCGACAATAAACCCCACATATCAATCAACTCACTAAAGTAATCGGCCTGGGGTATCGTGTAACCAAGTTGGGAAGCGGCACCCTCCTTTTGGAGGTTCGCGACAAGCTTCAATATGACAAACAGTCTAAACTAGTAACGTTTAGGGATGTCCCAGTTTCCATAGGCCCCCACAGATCCTTGAACACAGTTCGCGGTGTTATTTCTGATGATGACCTTCTTGGATTATCAGAGTGTGAACTATTGGAAGGCTGGCAAGACCAGAATGTTGTGAAGGTCCAAAGAATAGTGACACGACCAAACAAAAAAGAAACACAAACAAAACATGTAATTGTCACCTTTGGTACCAGTGACTTACCCGATTCAATTGAGACCGGCTACTGCAAGCTTTGTGTCGGGCCCAACATACCAAATCCTTGAAGGTGTTTCAAATGTCAGCAGTTTGGACACGGGTCCCAAAGCTGCAGAGGGCGTGCTACTTGCGCAAACTGTAGCTCCAACGAACACCCATCGAACAATTGTACCGCTGCAGCCCGCTATGCGAACTGTGGAGGAGACCATCCCGCCTATTCGCGATCGTGCCCATCTTGGAAAAAATAAAACAAATTGTTCAACTTAAAGTTAAATTCAATCTGTCTTTTCAAGAGGCCCGCCAGCGCTTCTCTCTCCATAACAAGCACTCTCCTTCCTTTGCAGATGTGACGCGCCAGGGCACCGTATCATATTTTTCCGCACCCGTGAGTGTCACACAAAGCGTGACAGTGGTCGCGCCGTCTGTGCCCAAGGCTGGAGTAGCCTGTGCTGCTTCGCCTCCTGCTAAACAGAAGTCTGCTGGACCCCGGACCACTGCACCCGCAGTTAGGTCCGAGACTTCTGTGAACGTGTCTGCTCATTAGGCACCATTCGCCACCTCGCAAGAGGTGATGGATACAAGTCCCCCTCCTCCGGCGCCTCAAGCGCCGAAGGATAGGCACAGCTCTTTGGAGCGCACCATAAAAAGAAAACCCAGAATTACAGGTCCCCCAAAAGGCCCTGCAATCTAAGTCAACACTTTTGTACACGCAATGCCACGCAACAGTAAAATGACACAAATACTACAATGGAATGTCAGAGGACGGCTGAGGAACCTCGACAATATTCAAGAACTTTTACACATACACCAAAAGTGCTGTGTGTAAAAGAAACACACCTAAAATCCAAGCTCACCAGCTTTCTACCCTGTTACACTACTTTTCGGAAGGACTAAGATGATGCTGTCACGTCATCTAGTAAAGTTGTCATTATAGTTGATCAAGGAACTGCCTGTGCACATTTGCGGCTTCAGACACCCCATGAGGCGGTGGCCGTCCAGGCTGTCCTCTTCAACGAACTGGTCACAATTTGCTCTATTTACATACCCCCGCATCACCTACTCAATAAGCAGGAATTCCAATCATTCATAGATCGCTATGTTCTATTCATAGAACGCTATGTTGCCCTAGGGGACTTTATTGCACATAATAGTTTATGGGGCGACACTCGCTGCGATGCGTGAGGTCACCTGATCGAACTGTTCCTTTTTTCTTCTGGTGCATGCCTTCTGAATCGGAAAAAGCCAACATATTACAACATAGCTAACAATACGTACTCAGCCATAGACCTCAGCATAACATCTCCATCACTCCTAACTCTATTTAAATGTCATCAATAATCCATACGGTAGTGACCATTTTTCTATAGTTCTCAGAAAATCAATATCAAATATATGCCCTCCACAAATTCCCAAATGGCTTACCGATAAAGCCGATTGGGAACAGTTTCATAAAATGACTCTCCTAACTTGGACTGACATGGGGGTGTTAAGCATAGAAGCTGCTGTGACCTACTCGACAGCTTTCTTGATTGATGTTGCAACGAAATGTATACCACAAACATGTGGACCGCCAGGCAAACAAGGACTCCCATGGTGGAATAATGAGTGCCGTAATGCGTGCGAAAAACGAAATTAGGCATGGAAGTTATTTAGAGGCTCGCCTACAGCCGAGAATCTTATAAACTTTAAAAACATCAAGTCGTAAGGAAGGAGGACGCTGCAACAGGCGAGAAGAGGAAGTTGGCATAAATTCTTATCAGGCATTAGTTCATACACAAATGAGGCAAAAGTTTGGAACATAGTAAGTAAGGCAGCTGGACAAAAAGCACATTCACTTCCTTTATTGAACACACAAGAGAAGAGTTTGGAAGACTAGGCTAACACTCTCAGAGGGCATTTCGAACAGGTCTCCAGCTCGTCACACTATAGTGAAGCGTTCCGACCATACAAAACCAGAATATAAAAACAGAGATTAGTGCGCAAACCCACAACACACGAGCCATACAATGAACTTTTCTGTTTGGCTGAACTACAAGCCTCACTTGCCTGCAGGAATAAATCTACGCCAGGCCCGGACCATGTGGCATATGAAATGTTGAAACATCTTCCCACTGAAACCCAAAACAAGCTCTCCTCTCCCTGTATAATGCAATATGGTTTTCCGGCGAGCTACTTTCAGCCTGGAAGGAAGCTATCGCTATGCCGATTCTAAAACAAGGCAAGGACTCATCCTCAGTTTCCAGCTACAAGCCAATAGCCTTAACCAGCTGTCTTTGCAAGGTTCTTGTTCTTGAGAAAATGATAAACAGGTGCCTGATGCACTTCCTTGAAACTAATGGCTTACTTGACCCATACCAGTGTTGGTTTCGAGAGGCTCGGTCCACCACTGACCACCTTGTTCGTATTGAGACACAATTTGCGACGCTTTTCTCCATCAGCAATTTTTTTCTTTCTGTGTTCCTCGATATGGAAAAGGCATATGACACTACATGGCGCTTTGGCATATTGTGAGACCTGTCGCATTTAGGAATGCAGGGCAGAATGCTGACAGTCATCGAAAGCTGCCTGTCAAACCGGACATTCCGTGTCCGAGTTGGCACTGTCTTATCTCGAGTATTTGTCCAAGAAACAGGAGTATTACAAGGAGGTGTATTGAGTTGCACAGTTTTCGTAGTTAAAATGAATTCCTTGCACCTCTCTCTCCCACGTAATGTTTTTTTTTTATATGTCGATGACGTACAGATTGGTCTCAAATCGTGCAACATCGCAATGTGCCAACATCAGGTTGAACTAGGGTTGAACAAGGTATCTCAATGGGCACATAAGAATGGTTTTACACTCAACGTGCAAAAGAGCACTTGCACCTTGTTCTGCCAAAAGAGGGGCCTCAATTCTGACCCTGACATTGACCTGGATGGTCAACTTTTGTCAGTGAAGACCGAGCACAAGTTTCTTGGACTAATATTAGACACAAAAATAAGCTTCATCCCACACATCAAGTATTTAAAAGACAGGTGCTTAAAAACAATTAATATTTTGAAAGTGTTGCCCGCACTACATGGGGTCGTGACAGGAAACGTCTTATTAATTTATATAAAACCCTTGTACCCACACGCCTAGATTACGGTGCTATAATCTATCAGTCTGCGACACCATCTGCCTTAAAGATTCTCGACCCTGTCCATAAAGATTCTTGACCCTGTCCACCATCTAGGTATTCACCTCTATACGGGTGCTTTTCGAACAAGCCGCATGGAGAGCCGGTACGTGGATTCGAATGAATGGTCGCTTTACCTACAGAGATGTTATGTGTCTTTTGTGTACTTTCTGAAGGTGAAGGCAGACAAGCAACGTTCCTCTCGTTTCACAACTAAC